GCTGAAGACATTTCCCTGGAGTTAGTGCTCACTGACCAGGAAAGAGATGCTGCCTGCTCAGCACACCCTTTGGCCAGAGCAGCCCTTTAAGAGGAGGATTATAAGGATTTGAATCCTTCAGGGCAGGACTCCACTTCCTTGGTGACTCCTCAAAATAGAGGTGGGAGCTATTATTTTAAAAGAGTACTTATGGTCCCTGCTTACTTCTTTGAAACAGGAGTTTTGTGCAGCTGCCCTCAGAAGCAGATTCGGCTTACGAACAGGAGCACACATGGAGGGCAGGGGTTCAGCTGTGTCCCCTTCCCTCAGCAGATTTATTGAGGTTGATGCGAAATTAAGTGGTGACTCCTCAAAATAGAGGTGGGAGCTATTATTTTAAAAGAGTACTTATGGTCCCTGCTTACTTCTTTGAAACAGGAGTTTTGTGCAGCTGCCCTCAGAAGCAGATTCGGCTTACGAACAGGAGCACACATGGAGGGCAGGGGTTCAGCTGTGTCCCCTTCCCTCAGCAGATTTATTGAGGTTGATGCGAAATTAAGCCTTTGGTGATGGGCACATTAGCTGCAGGAATAATGCTTTTCTGCCTTTTCACATAGGGGTGTGCTGCCAGTCATGGCATATCAGAAGCTGCAAGCTCCCAGGAACTGCAGTCTGCAATGTCCTTTAAAGTGCTGAGGCCAAGACAAAACAAACATACTTGGCTTGTTTTATCTCTGCTTTCCAGACAGTGTCCAAGTGTCTCTGTATTCCTGGTGATTGTCCTTTCCTGTCTGACTTGACCAGCACTCACAATCTAGGTATTGTAGCACCCAGCTGGTGGGCACCCAGGCTCATTCCTGGACCTCTCTAAACACCTAAATGTTGAGCAGTGCTCACAGCTAGAACAGCAAATGAAATGCTGGATATTGAGAAATTTTATATGCCAGCTGAGAGAGGGTTGTAATAATGTAATTTTTAGATGTAAGTGCATCTAAGCCTTTCAGATGGGTAACCCTCACTCCTTCTAGCACTGAAGTCAGGGAGAGTGTTCAGCATTTCTATCAAAGGCCAAACACTGTGAGATCTGGGCAGTCAGACCTAAAATAAGTCAGATAATACACTTTTTCTCAAACAACGCTGTTTGCAAAACTGGTAGAGAAAATGCCAAATTTTATCAATGACCTTTAGAACTATTCTCTGTTTTCAATGCTGAACACATCCGTTTCATCTCTGCATTTAAAGGCCTCCTTTTCTTCTCGTATATTTGAGCTGCAGACAATAATTCTAATTAAAAACATGTAAAAGCCAACAAATGCAACAGAAGTATTTTCTCTTTTGAAAACCATGGATAATTACCTCCAGTATCCATTACTTAGATGCCTCATGTCATGTTTTTATTTTGTTTCTCTGATATTTTTCTCTTCCTGCCAATGCAAATCTCACGTATTGATTGACTTCTATAGTATTTTACCTGAACACATTACATTAGCCATAAAAAGCACTATTTTATTGTATTACTTGGGGGGAGGGGGCAGGGAGAAACTATCACTCAGCCAGATATTTTCTACATTACATATTAAGACTGCAATGCTTTAATAGTAGAAAGACAAACAAGAATTTTTGCTAATAACAGCTCCCCATTTCATTATGTAACTGGCAAAGTATTATTTAGGAGACTACAGTACAAATGATTGAAAATTAAATCACCATACAGAAACTTATTCATTGAAAGTAATAGTTAAAACTCAGAAGACTGCATATCAAAGGCAAAGGTTAAAAAGAGAAATTATAAAATGTCAAAAGTATCTTCTTTCTAAATATACAGGCATCTCAAGGTACAAAAGCATGTGCATCAGAAAAAATAAGGGAGAGGCTTTTAAGTGATCTCTGATCCTACAGGTCAAATACCACTTACAAATTATACATAAAAAATTTAATATCTCTTCAAATCAAGGTATGCTGCTGTACAGACTATATACTGTCTACGTGCTACTTATTAGTTGAGAAACTTTCAAATCAATTAACTTAAACATTGTTTCCCTGACTTCTCTTTCCCTCACCTCTTTATAAGATTTGTATTGTCCTTATGGCATGACTTCAGCACAGGCCTTCCTAAACTCACTAATGAATGAAGATATCCATCCAAATAGTTCCTGAGAGTCTAGGTCTTGTGGCTCCCCAGATTTTACCTGTAAATTTGGAAGAGAATACTTAACATTAGTATATTCAAGTAACCTAAACCATGTCCAGGATATTGATGAAATTAAAAAAGCAAGAGAAAAGTTAAATACCATCATCATCACCATCATCATAATAATAATATAATAAACAACTTAGAGCTGGCTAAAATCTCCAGCAAGCTGAGAACCAAAACATCTCAAGCAAAAGTGGCCCCGGAAGCTGTCACCTCAGTAACCTGCTTTTCTGTATAACCCAGTCTCTGGCTGGACTGCAGATCTCCAGCTGAAGAGGACACAAATCAATAAAGCTCTGTAGTTTGTTAAATGAACCCATTCATAAAAAAAAGTGCATACATTAGGAAAAAGGTTTATATTTCACAGTGGGCATGGTAGTAGCATATTCAAGCCAAAAAGTTTCCTTTTCTGTCATTTCGCTTTTCAAACAAACAAGAAAGTTCATAGGGAAGCAGACATTTTTGGAAGAAAATGTAATTTATCAAAGAGCCCCCTTTCCCTGTTCTTTCCTTCACCTGAAAAAGGTGAACAGATGGAAAGTTTTTGAAAAAGATGTGACCAATATTGGCATCATGTCTGCTCCGCTATAAAACAAGAGGTGAAATGCAGTCATACTACAAAGTTCAGTACTAGGAGAGGGATTCCTGTTTTAACTAAAACTACTTCCACATAGGTTCTCCAGTCATAGGATAGGAAGGGAGTTTTGATATTAAATCTGTTGCTAAGGTTTAATTCAAGAGGTTTGTCATCATTTTCAAAGATTCCTCCTTAATGGGATCAATGAGTTAAAGAACATAACCCTGTCTGCAATGGCTTTCTAATTGAGCAGAACAAATCCAGAGAACATGCTCCAAAGGCTTAATCAAAAAGTTTAAAAAAGCATCTTGTGTTGCTACGAGTTCTTATCTTGGCTGTGATTGAGAGCTACTCTGTAACTGAGGGATGCAGCTCTCCCAAGACTGAACAGCAATGTAGTTGTATTTCAGTATTTCAGATTGCAACTGAAATAAACAGAGAGGTTTGCACTGGTATCTGTCATTATCTGAATATGTTCACCTGGACATCATCTGACTTGTTCTTAGGAGAAAATCCTCTGCGTGGAAATCAGAAACACAGTAAAAGCAACCGCTCACATATAATCCAGTCACCAAAACTTTAGCATTAACCAGTGACATTTGATTGATAGTTTTGCCTGTTGTGCTCCTAATTGTACCTCCTGGTGCTCCAAGCCCTTGATCTTTGGCACGCCTCACCATTCACCCATGGTGTACCATCACTTAAACAGTAATGAGAGGCGCATTTCCTGGAGCTAATGACCATCTGTGAGAAGTTGATAGCCCACAGCTATACCACAGGCAGTTATCCCCAATTTATGGTTCATTCCGTAGAAGAGTCACATGCCAAGGTCACTATTGATTTTATAAGTAGAATATAAAATCATACAGGTAAGCTTGTGGATTTTTGGTTTTTGTGCAACATGATTTCCATGGCTACCTACAACACGTTTCCAGATCAGATACTCCCCCAGGTAAGCTGGACTATTCCTTCCTAGTGCTGTTGAGATGATAGCCTGGTCTTTGATCACCCATCCTATTTTATATTTGCTTTACATTTTTGCCACTTTATAAATATGCAAAAAGATCTGCCTAGCAATAACATTATTCAGAAGAAAAAAATCCATTCTAGGTGAGAGAAATATATAAAATGTCTAACCTTAGAGAATAATAGGGGGAGGGGAGCAAAAAGCAGCTAGGTTAAAACTTAAGGAAACTTCCAGCTATATGGAAAATGAAATCCTCTTCAGATGCAAATAAGAGTCTCAGATGAGAGTTTCCAGTACAAGAAAGGAAAGCAAAGAGCCTCACACGTGTATCTGTATCACAGCATCACATGTGTAACGCCTCCTGGCTGGATGTGCACAGCTGGAGAGAAACGACCTCTGTGCAGGGGTGGCACAGTCTGCACATGCAGGGGGGCACATCCAGCACCCACCCAGCATGACCCAGCTCTGCAAGCAGGACCGGCCACATGACAGTAACGCCTTCTGAAGGTGGCTTTTAGGTCAAATGGGTCAAATTCTTCCATATCCCATGCAAGAAGTGTCCCCCCAGAGGTTTTACAGCAAAAATCTCCCCATTTTTAAATTTGATGAATACTTTTCAACCATTTCCACTCATGTAACTCAATTGTTAATTCTCTCATTTACACTATCTTTCCACCTTTTCAACTTCTTGCTTTATCCCGGCCCTTCAACCTTTTTTAAGGCTTTGGACAGAGTTCTTCATCTATGTGCTACCATATAAATTTGGCTTCTTACCCTACAGTGAGGCATTTTTCCCATTTGTTAAAGGTTGCAAGAGACATAAAAACCACCTTGCACATTGTTACAATATTACCTTTAGTAAAAAATTATTAATTAAATTTCCTTGGTCAAACATTTTACTAATCTTCCATGTCTGTTAAAATAAGTCCCCAAATGGCTTCTGGCTGCATCTTCTGTGCAACATTTGCACAGAACAAGGGGTAATGGTGTCAAACTGGAAGAAGGTAGATTTAGACTAGATATTAGGAAGCAATTCTTCACTGTGAGGGTGGTGAGACACTGGCACTGGTTGCCCACAGAAGTTGTGGATGCCCTCTCCCAGGCAGTGTTCAAGGCCAGGTGGGACGGGGCTTTGGGCAGCCTGGGCTGGTGGAGGTGTCCCTGCCCATGGCAGAGGGGTTGGACTGGATGAGCTTTAACGTCCCTTCCAACCCAAACCATTCTGTGATTCTAGGATTTGCCTGTCATAAAACTTATCTATTTCTAGTCCCTCCCCCTCATGAAAAGGGGGAGGAGGAGGGGAGGAACAAAAACACAAACCAAAACCAACACCACCACTTACAGCTGTGTCCTAATCCCAGGACTAGGAAGTTATTCCAATTTCAGAGATTAGTACTAAATTTCAGCAAATCTGTCTCTTTCCTCAAAACCTCCTAGTGTGCCTATTCTGCTGGAGAATACTGTTAGGGTAGCAGTGACCTCCTGAATTTCTACCACACTCCAAGAACTCTGTGCTAAACAAGGAATCTACATGCTGTGTTGTTAAAAACTGCAGTGTGGGGATTTTATCACTCCTTCTGGTGTGACCCTCTGACCCAAAAAAACATTTTCTAGTGTATTGGATCTAGATGGGTGGCTTTTGTTCAGAAAAAAAAATGACTTGAGAAAATTAAGTGCTTCTCTGGTGCAAGTGTGGGTGAATATAATAGGAACAAACAAGAACAGACAGTTTCTTTATCAGAAATTTTCTGCCTGGGGAGCTTCCTTTCTGATCAGCTTATTTTTAGGTCAGTGCTACTACTAAGGTCTCTATCCTTGAATTTCTCACATTCAAATAACAGTAGCTAAATCAATGCCCTGGACTATGAGCTTTTCCTTAGAAAAATCCTTCAGCCCAAACGACAGAAGATTTGTGGCCACATCCCAGCCAAAGATGCGATTGTTGGAAGGCACCAAGCATGTTATTTTCCATAACATTTTCTGTAACATGCTGAAAACAGCCAACAGTCAAACTCACTGAATTTATAAAGATGGTGAACATCTACTTTTGACACTTGGGCCACAGACCCTCTAAAAAGTTGTCTATAGTTCTCAAGAAAAATAGAAGCCAAATTTTCATTCAAAATATTCCACCACTGTTACATGCGATTTTATTTGTTACTTCAGTTTCTGTGGACAGTGTAACTATAAAGCATGTGGAAGTATGGGAAACTTTCATTTTTTTAGGAAAAAGAAATGTAGATTTCTTTTCATTGCAATTTAATATGACATGTACCAGTATGTTGCTATAAAGCTTCTTCATTTCATCACATCTTTTTGACAGCTGGGATAGATCCCCTTCATATTTCTGAATTAAATCCTGTAATAAAATAAAACTTTTTAATTTGGTATAGAAGCATAATATTAAAGCAGAAATTAAACAGCAGTGAAAAAAGATAATTCAAGTCAAAATTTTCATGTCACAAAAATTTCACATTTCACAAAAGATAATCATACATCAAGTGCACACATTTCCTTGCAAGTATTAAGACATCAAAGACAAAAAAAGAACCATCAACATTACATAATTTTTTACTGTATCATCCAGTGACACAACCTAAATCTATTAAAACTGACAGAACTAGATAAGCATCAAAGCATCATAAAGTCCTAATTTCCACCCACATTTGGCATAGTCTAGCCTTTTGCACGTGAAGTAAACACTCCCATTCACCAATTCTTAAGGATTCAGCTACAAGGCCTTAGAAACTTAACTTTTGAAACAAAATTTCTTAATCACAGTTCCTTTGTAGTGTATCCATTATATATAAGTATATACATATGCAAGACAACTCAATATGTATTGGAGCAGCATAGCGCTCAGCTGTTCCAAGGGCGAAGGAAGCGTGTGGGTTTAGCAGGTGCTGACACCATCCAGTAAAGCACAGCATGAAGGTAACCAGGACAGCAGACGCCCGTGTCCGTAGCAGTGGGAAACCACAGCAGTGGGAGTATCTGGAAGTATCTCCATTGACAAATAGCTCAACAGTGCTCTTGCGAGCTACCTGAGTTCTTTGCCCCTGGGCTAATAAGCCCTGCGGTTGGCTCTGCTGACTCCTGGCCAGAGCTGGGTTCCCTCCAGCCTGCTCACCCACCTCCCATCCACCACTAGCATGGGCAGAATCATCTCAGATCAACCTATACTCACAATATCGGCATGTCCTTGGATGATGTTTCTTTATGTTATTTTCCCTTCTGACCAAGGGCAGAGGAAGTTATTACAAAATCATATATATGCCCTAAAATTGCTATTGTTCCAAAATGCTTATAATGGGTAATGGTGGAGCTACGTGTTCCTCATATACTCCAGCTTATTTGCCTGTGAAGCAGAAACTCTGACAAGCCCTTCCCATGCCACAGCTTATGGTATGAGATATTATCAGAAGGAAATAAAAGGCCACTTTCCCTCAAATGCTCATGACCCCCTTGCAAGGGCAGAACTCAGCAAAAACTAAGCAGATGACTCATCTTACCTCCAGCCCACAATACGGTTGTGATAATGTTACCTTTAGTTCCTTGCAGAACTGTGACTCCTGGGGTGTTGCCTTGATTGTCTTGGGTTTAATAAGCCGCCTGCACTGAACAATGTTTTCCAATTCTTTTTTTAAAACTAATAAAAGAGAAAGAAAATTGGAAATTTCACTAGTGTGCAGTTATGTCTAAAGGACTCCAAATGTCTAATTTAGGACGCATGGAAAATTTAGGGGAATATGGGTCTGTGGTATGTTCATCTAGGAATATTAACTTTCTCTTTTGAAATATAGATCCTAAAAGTGGCAAGGGTCTTCTGGTAAAAAGTAGTCTGTGATCACTTCACAAGCAACTGCAGAATAATGAAGAGGTTGATAGTTTGGTTATGCAGCAGCCATAACTTTGACCTTTCCTAGCTTTGAGCATTGGGATTAGCGATGAAAATAACATTCTTCAAACCTACATTTCTGTGTAGAAAGTTCAGGGTTCCTTTAAAGATAAAGAACAAAAATTCTACTCTATGTCACAGTAAAAAAACCTTGTCAGTTAGCACTTAGCACTACACCCAACTGCTACTGTGGGACTCTCATGGTATGAAACAGGGGAGAAGAGGACACAGCCTTGGTTCCAGGTGCTCAGTCCTGAACTGACCGAGGCTGCAGTCTAGCACCTTCCTCCCCTTGTGCTCATGCAATAGTTGCAGCAGATGAGCCCCAGGATGTGTCTTGAACTACAATGATGAGAAAGGCTGGTTCAGTGGCATTTGGTCCATCTCCTTCCCTCTCTGCTCTGGAGAATGGGACTCAGAAGATAAGAGTGATCTACACTGGGCCCATTAGGAATCCACGGAGAGAAGAGGACAGTCAATCTCCTCCAGTTCCCATAACTCACCTTCTCTGTCAGCTCTCAAAGAGTTCAATCTAAAATCCATTGACTTCACTGGTCATCCTGTGATTTACAACTGTAAGTTGTAAATGTCTCCCAAAGTCTATCTACATTTGAACAACCTTATTCTGTTCCCTCCTGTTGACTCCAGTAGTGTTGGATTCCTTTCTAGAGAAGGACCCTGGTTTAGTTCAAAGAAATTCTTAAACTTCAGGACTGAAGTGTAAGTTTTCTCTTGCTGCATTGACTGTTCCTGGCAACTCAGCTGTAACTACAGCCATAACTTTGATGAAGCACTTGTATCAGTTAATGTTTGTAGATTATGATAAACTCTATTTACCACGGGCAGTATATTTGTTACATTTCTAAACCACCTGGACACACATTAATACCTCTTTTTAAAAAATTCTTCACAGTAACATGGCAGGTTAAGTATCACCATAGCAACACTTTACCATAATGTTTTGAATCTTTACCTCTCTTTACAAACTACAGAAGTGCAATGAAAACCTGTTCCAAAAGACTGCACAACATATGAAAATCTTTCTCTGAATTTAGAAACCACATTTACATACCATCAACTTCAGCACTGAGGCCCTTCATGGAAGCTGGAAAGGAAGAGAAAGGAGAAAAAAATGCTAATAAGTATCATTCATATTGTGAGAACAGGAACTTCCACAAAAGTTGAAGGACTTCATTATTTTTTATTTGTTGATTTCTATTTTTCCCCCTCCTCTTACCATCAGGAACAGCTTCAAATTCTGTCAACTCCTGAGAAAATTTAGCCAAATCAGGCTCATGTAAGAAGATCTGCTCCACAAGGGCGTGAAGCAAGGTGAATGTCCTCTCCTTACCCCACAACAGAGGTAACTGCAAATAGAACAGCACAATAATTGACAGACTGAGCTTTTACACTAAAAATAAATAAATAAATAAATAAAAGGCAGAAAGAAAGAAAGAAAGAAAGAAAGAAAGAAAGAAAGAAAGAAAGAAAGAAAGAAAGAAAGAAAGAAAGAAAGAAAAACAGCAGGGCTGTTGATAGCTTCCAGGTAAATTTGACAAGAATAGAAAACACAATGAAATTAAACTTCTTTTCAAGCTGCCATTTCACAGACATGCTTGATTAAGATCAGCTTTACACTTTCATAACCTTGACCTTCCTTGTTCTCTTGTATCTTCTTATTCACAAGGGTCTTTTTTAACTTAAGGTATCCTAATTGATTACAAATGATTTTGGACCTCCAAACGTGATCATTATTCCTTTTCACTTAAAAGCAGTGTGCTGTGTTCATGAAGACAGTAAAGATTCCCTTAATTGAACCTGGGAAGATGTTCTGTTGCAGAAAATGATTTTGTAGCCATTTTTCATTATGATAGATGTGGTATTATGGCAGTTATATATATATTTATATAAAAAAATAAAGAATGCAAGTTGTGTCTCAGAATTGTCACTAGAGTTATAAATCACTCACTCATATATTAAAGTCTCCAGATGGGAAAGATACCTTACAAAAACAAAATAAAAATTCTCTCTTCTATTCACAGATCAGGCATAGTCTTACAACAGTGTTTAAGACACAAGGCAGCTTATGAAATTTGTATCTATTTCTTACTTCTCAGGATAAAAGTATGATGCTCTGACACTATTGGGTGCAGGAGGAGGAAAAAACCCTGCACTCACTAGCAGCATTTTCTGATGGCAAGTTCTGATGAAGAGGGGAAAGCAGTTTCCTTCAAAATAATTGAAAACTCAGCCTAATGTCACAGAAGTTGTAGGTCAATGAAGAAACAATTAAAGAACTAAGATGTAGACAGTGCTTCTCAGAGCAGATATCTATCAGGAAAGAGTAAAATTCACAACTGCCACCTTCGTCCCCTATCCAATCATCCAGCAAAGCATGAGGGGTTCAAACTGTTGCAGGCAAATTTCACTCCCTTCAAATTTGTTTGTTTACTTACATTCCACTTTTGAAATTTTACCTTAAAATGTCATTATGTCAACCACCACAATGTCAACCACTTGTTGCAAAAGACCTTCGCATTGGAGTAAAATGAAGTGCTAAGAAATTACTCCAGTGGCATAAAAGTGCAACTACAACAGAGAAATGCCATAGTTACAGCCTCTGACCACAGTGAAATGAAGAGAATCCATACAACGGTGCTCTGCACAAAACTGCAAAATGCCATTTATCTCAACTTGCATCACACCAGAGGCCTGTAGCTCAGGCGCCTTTTCCAGCCAGGGGATCTTAATATCAGGGCAGTCAGCATTTTGATGTTCTGCCTCATTAGATACACAGTCTGTTCAATACCCCAGTGCCCCTGTCCAGCCAGTGCTGCTGTCTGAAGTGGGGAAATCCAACTTGTTAGAACACACATTAAGGAATACTTTGTTAAACAGGATTTTGTTTCTAGTGTAACCAAGAGCAGATGTTAAAATGTTAGCTACTCATTAAAAAATATTGCCTTTCTCCACATTCAGAGCAAAACTGACTTAATATTAATGGCTAACGTACCTTAGAATATGATTATTTTAATGACAAGAAAAATATTTACTCACTTTGGTCAAAGACGACAGGCGAAATCCTTTAGCCTTCTCTTTTCCAGCCTTTTCATTTAAGTGGTTCCCAATGGCTAAAATGTACTCTAAGACAGCAACAAATTTCTGGCTGGATTGCAGTTGCTTACTCGCTTGGATTTTCTGGTTTATTAGCTGAAACACACAAACTTTCCTTCAGATCAAATTGAAAATGTGAGTAAATCAATGGTGCCTATAACTTCCCTTTGCCAAAAGACTCATTGTCCTCACCTGAAGCAAGTCACACTTCAGCTGACTCCTGTCCAACTTTCCTGGGGCAACAGGCCAGGGGTTTTCAGGAAGGACCATTTAAAAGTCTCCCATCAAGATAAAGCTGGTGTTGGCAGAGCTACCCTGCCCCCGATGGAGGTCACAGCCTTTCTGGCTGCCAAACCAGCCCTGCTAAAATGACTTCAACCTCGTCTCTTAAAAATGCTTCTGAAGAAAAAGTATTTTGCTGTTTGAATGCACCAGATCACACCAAATGTCAGGCATCAGGGGAAGCAGATAGCCTGAAGCGCAGTATAAGGTTCTCCATCCTTCACCTCCCTCCCTTCTGTTCATACCAGCTGAAGACTGTTATCTTATCAAAATTCTTAGCACAGTTTCCCCACAAGGAAGAATGATAATTTCCTGTAATCAAACTCAGTATCAATTTCTGTTTTCCCAGGGAAGCCATCTCCCTTCTAGGACTACAAACACAAGAGGTGGTTTTGGTTTAGATTAGGAAACGTACATTTTTTAGCACCACACCTCTCTTCATCAGTCATCAACACAAAAATCTAAAAACAGGGAAATGATGAAACACACAGGAGAGCTGAAAGCCGTTGTTAAAACTTTTATAACACATCACAGGGCCAGAGGGTGCTGCAAGTCAATATTCAGATTGTCCCATAAAATTTTAGGTGTATAATCTATGGTTTACAAGCATGTTAGCATGCATATGTAAGAAAATACTTAGACAACTAATCAGCTCTTCAATGAACATTGGATAGCTGTCAAAGCAAACAGTGTAGAATCATAGAATGGTTTTGGTTGGAAAAGACCTTCAAGATCACCAAGTCCAACCATGGATCCAGCCCTACAAAGACCACCACTAGACCATGTCCCTAAGCACGAGATCTACTCATCTTCTAAATACCTCCAGGGATGGTGATTCTACCACCTCTCTGGGCAGTATATATAACAGCTTCCAAATACTCAAATGTTTGGTTTCAGCAAAGGTGCAGCATTGTACCAGGCAGGGTCAGAAACCTGTGCATCTCCCTGGTGATTTCCATCTGTTCCTCTTCTGAGTTTTGTTCACTGTTACTATGGTTTTAATCACAGCCAGACAAAGGATAACAATTTGAGCTTGCAGAACTTTCAAATTTTGTTTTCATTCCCATGCAGAATGAGAGCAAGACCTTTGAAACATTTTCATAGAAACAGAATTGTTTTGAATCAGAGCATATACAAACCCTGGCAGGTGAGGCAGCACTTTGGAACAGGAAGATCCAGTGCATGAGACTGGAACACTGTTTATTTGCATACCCCCACCACTAGGTTATCCTGGAAAAGGCAGAGAGGGACTTGAACTTTGGTTTGCAACATTGCAATTCAGTGCTGTAATCCTTAGGGTGAACAGTCTCCTTCAGTCTTCTGAAAATAGTAAATGTCTGTGACACACTGGTCAAATAAACTTGCTCTAAGTATCGCTGACTTTAGATTGATTCTTTCAGCTTGCAGGGCAAGAAACTCCCAATGAAAGGAATTGAATTTTAATGGTGACATTCACTTCTGTCTCATCACTGGCCAAAGAAAGCGGAAAGTTTAACAATGCAAAATAGAAATTTGAAAATCCTTTCCTGTTCTTTTCTCCCTCCTTTGTGGAACTCTGTTTGACTGCCAGGTACATTACCAACTCTTTGAACCTTAGTGGAATAAGGGTGAAATTAAATGCACATACATCTATATACACACATATCATAGCCACCATCTGCCTCTATTTTTTTTACTGTGTTTTGTTTTGAACCAGTACTGTGGAATACCATCATTAACAAAACAATAAAATGAATTGGATTCCCAAAAGCATTCCCAATGCACTAGCCAATAGTGCCACTATATTTCAAATGTGGTCTAACAGTTTCATGTCATTTGCAATTCCTTGGCTATGAAAGCCGTGACGTATAGAGATTTTGCAATGGTTTCTTTTAACTTTTTTGCTTGTTACTTTTGAATAGTGCCATGAAACGTTTGTGGGTTTGGTTTTTTTAATACACTGGGTTGGCTGGATTATTACACTATGAATTGATCTCATTGTGGACTATGAAATATTCTGCTATAGAAAAAAAAAGAAAAACCAAAACAAAACAGAACAAAACCTCTTCAACTACACAGTTCTGCAACCTGCATTGAGGTCAGTTGGCCCTCTACCATCTAACTGGTAGATTTTGATTACAAACACACTATGAAGGATTCACTTTACTTACAGGCTCCAAATCTCTCATGCTCACAGGCAGCTCACGTATGGTAAGCAGGAGATCCAACCTTTGGCCTAAGTGGGGGATTTTACACATCTGCATAGAATTGAAGAGAAAAGGAATCAAAACTCATGTTTATACCAAAACATGCATGTATCTTTCATAATTTTTTGAGTAATTCAGCTGCACCATAGTTTTCCTAATTTCTATGCTCATTTATTAATTTTATTCTAGGCCTTAAGTCTGTAGATATACTACGGCACACAGCTGAATATGCATCATTTGCATATGCAAATTCAAGAAAAGACTGTATGTTTGTAGGGCCAGACATTATTAAAATCAATGATACCCATTTCTTGTGAACAAGAATGGTTAAATGCATGCAATTTTATGTATGCATTTATTATATGATTATAGATTTTGGAAATCTAGCTCAGAATAAATGAGCTTCTACTTTGGAAGAAGTGGGGCAAGTGCATGACATGGAGATGCAAAGGGATCCATACAGTCTTCTTCATAACATCTACCTGTCTCAACTCTTTATCAGATAAATCACCTCACACAGATTCTGGCTGAGATTGTAAATTTAAGTTCCAAACTACATCTTTTTGTAGTGGTTTTATTTAGAAGAGAGTGTCCTAGAAATAGTATGTGGTGTCTGTTAACACTGTAGCTTCTTACCTCTAACATAAACTGATCAACCACGTGCAGCTCTGAAGGAGACCCCTTGAATGAGTGGTACCTTTCTGAGTCTTTTGATGTTGGCATGTATCTGTAAAACAGGTAATGAAAATTAGATCTCCTCTTTCTCTTCATTCCATATTGTTGCAACATAAAACAATCACTTCATTCCATGCACTGGAATTTCTTACCATTTAGTGTGTTTTATGCATTGCATATTTATTTTTTAACCATTGGAACTTTATAAACATTTAAGCCAACCACGTGATGGAAAGTTAAAATGGTCTGCAGACACATCTGCATATCTGGAAATGCTTGAAAACAACAGTCAGCAGTATTCACCTGCAGATCCACAGACAATTTACAAATTACTGTTTTGAAAAAGGTAAATCCATGTGACAGAGGAGTTAAGGCCATAATTTCCAAAGAGGGTCATTAATTCTGTGCTTGATGTGTACATGCCTTGTTTTCATTGATTGGATAACACGTTTGACAAACTTAGAAACACCTAGAAACAATACAAACTTTTTTAGCAGTTATGTCCATGCTGGCTCAGCTTGTCTCCAGTCGTAACTTCTTTGAAAAATTAGCACAGAAGTAGAGCAGACTCGTGCTGTGGTGTGAATAACCAGTGACCCCCACAGTCTGACTGACTCCTACATATAATACTTTATTAATTGTCCATGAAACAAGAGTGGGCAATGGCATTTCTAAGCACTGCACCACATCCAAGATCCATTTCTCATTTTTGTTACAACAGCTTGTAACACAGACCCACAACTTTCTTCCTTCTGCACAAGAACACTCTCCCACAGTATTCCAGAGCTGCAGATTTTTAGAAAATTGACAACTTTAAAGGTGCATCCACTTAGAAACGTAAACACACCACCACTGTTCCCCTCCTTTGGAGATCTTCCTGCCTGTCTGACTGATATACTATGGGAATTCATAGCGTATCTTAAGAAAAATGAAATCGATGTTACAGCTAACATATGAAGAGGAGTGTTAAGAATCTTAAGTATTCAGGTCTACTATCTTCCCTTCTTTCTCTGCACACAACCTACTAAGTTTGTAGCAAGTATGACTAAACATCCATGGGAATAGATACACATTTTCATTAAAAGTAAGGGAATTTATTCAAAGATGGAAAAATAAAGCAAATAAAGATTTTAGCACATTAAATACAGGACAAACAATAAGGTTTTTTTAATGTTGTCAATAATTTAATACGACATTTCAATTGAATAATTGCTGGGGTTTGAATTATTGAATCTATATTAAAGCAGATTATAAAATATTCCATTCATCACCATCATCAAGAAAAAAAAATAATCATCATTTTAAAATAACAGTTATCTGTTGGCAAATGAAAGGGGTTTTTATCATTAAAAATACTTTGTCTTTTTAAGCTAATTCAAATAACTTTTTTTTAAAGCTGATAGTAAATATTTGCATTTAATCAGAAGTCTGATATCCTATCAAATTGTTTTGGTGTATTATATATATGAAATTAAACTAGCAGATTATCTAGAAGGTTTAGAGCTTAAAGCATTAAAACAATGGAAGCCATAGAAAAGGAAGCACAAAAATATATTAATGCATTCTATAAATATCTTTTTACATGAATGCAACTCTAATGGAATTTGTGCAACAAAAAATCTCCCACTGTTCTGAAAAAAATAAGTTTATAGAGACAAAGAGTGCTTTTCTTTTGATTATAATGTGTCAGGATAAAGAATCATTCAGAGAACTATGGAAAGGTTTCTGTATCAAAATAATTTCTGAAGTTTCCAATATAACCCACCACCCTACTGACCTTCACTGTATACACGAGCAGAACATTTTGTTCACTGGTCACAGTCTCGAAAATATAACCTTGGTTTCAGCTTTAAATATTTTTCATTCTACAACAGTAGAATTTAAACTTCCTGCTCAGGCTTAGACAATATGACAGGTATAACTCACACAGAGAGAAAATTTCCATTTTAAACCCCTGTCATAACCTCAGGTTCTCACTTAAATGGAGGACAAAGTTTTCAGCAGTAAAATTTTCCACCATGGCACCTAAATCAAGCAGAAAAGTCTTTACAAGTGCTAAGTGTCATGCTACTTGTATCATGTCAAGACCACTACAGTGTATTGTATTCGAAAAACTTCTGCGTGCTGATGTTTCCAGATAAGCATCTGCTCCTTTGATGAGATGTCTGAAGGGGAGCCATAAGACACTGAACTGCCTTGGAAATCCAAACCTCAGTTCTAAAATACAGCTCATCTACTTCAGTAACACTTTTTAAATTGGGGTGGAAAAAAAATAGCTTGCTTTTACTACAAGATTTGTACATGCATTCCTAGATTTTGGCAATAAATAAGAATCCCAGGAACAGAATGCTTGATCCTATATAGCGTATAGCAATACAGCATCTAGTACCTCTTGCGCATTTCATTGCCAGAAAAATTTCCTCAGCATTATTGCTATCAAAGGAAGACTGAAATCTTCAAGGAAAAAATAAAATCTTTCAAGCTTCATTGCCATCATTATTATTACTATTATTGTCTGATGGCAAAGAGCCCAGATGCTATAAATCAGTGATCTCAGTGGTGTTACACCAATTTCAACAGTGTGGAGTTCCTGGACTGAATCTGCAGTGCTGTATTAAAGCTTGAACAACTGAGCGTGTTCGGTGTTTTCCCCCACACCGAGGTGTGAGCAGAGGCTGCCCTCATAAATGGGTCTGACCAGACCCCAAGCACTTTGCAGAACTGGAAGCGTTTCCTTACTTCTGCCAGTTCCAGCCATTTGTTTCTCCAGAGATGACCACACATGTAACTGGAGAGCATTCCCTATGTCCAAGACATTTCACTGCTGTTACCTCCTGGCCAATTCCATCACTGCAATTAGAAACTGCAGGACTGCAGTAAGTTCTTTCTTTTTTGAGTGAAGTCTTTAGGGCCAGCTTTTGAAAGGCAACAGAGCTCCATTACCTTCAGTGAGGCTATACACCTTTCCCCAGATCATGATCTACTGTGCACCAGTGTGGGATATAACTGGTAAAGCACTGGGACAGCATGGAAACTTCCTCCAAAACACTGGCACATATAAATCATGTACTTATTCAGTGTCTTGTCCATGTCCCTTCATACTTCAGGCAAGGACTGTACCAGCCATCTCACAGAATGACATTACTTCCATGTGTTACATGTCTCTTCTTCCTGTTCACATCACTTCAAGCATAGACATGATTCTGCAGACTTTAAAATTACTGACAATGTACTGATAAGGATCAGGATTTTGGATTTTAAGTCCAAAATTAAAGTCATTCCACAAGATGTAGAAACATCAGTTATTTACTTCCTCACTTTATTTACCAGCATCATCTTGTTCTAAGCCCACTTTAGCAGAACACTTTTTTTTTCTCATTTTGAAGCAAGAAACATCTTTACATCAAGTTTTCATATGAATATGTTAAATAAAATGGCCCAAGTATGACATGAGGAGTGGGATGTATAATGGATACTACTCTAGGATCCACTTCTTTCCTTTCTTTCTACATCTTAAACTATTTGAAGAGATACAATACACTTCCTAAAAATCTCACATGCCAATAGTTTACTTACACTCCTATATTTTTCTCAATATAGTAATTCATTTTTTTTAAAGATACAGAAATTTGCATTCTGCTTTAAACCCACAAATCTCTGGTACTCAGAAATACTGATTGTTAGTAACCCAGCATCCCATGAAGCTCCTTTAACACTTGTCTGCATTTCTACCCTCCAAACAAATTTTAAATTTTTCATTCCTTATCCCACAATAGACAGTAAGGCTGAAGTAAAAGATGTTATAACTTGATGAGAAAACTTTACATCTGCTCACTGCCACTTGTTCTCTTACCATATCTGCTTCTTGTGACTAGTTCACAAAATCAAGTCAGATTTGCTGTCATTTCTTGCAATTTGTTTCCTACACAATATGGAGAAAAGTGATATTTTGGGGTTGTACTCTAAAATCTCAGTTGCAAGGACTGCGATTTCTGTGTGCAACCCTAATATTCTATTCACAGTCAGGATATATCCAATATGTCAGCAGTATCTTTCCTGAACTTCACATTATTTGCAGATTATGCCTTCTCCAAAAGTTAGCATATATTATAAAGAAAGCATTAAGCCCCAAAGATTACCTTCTTAGTGCTGTAATCTGTTCATCTGTAAGTCCACCACTCTCTTCATGTAAAATGTATAGTTTGTCTTTCAGCTCACTTGGTTTTATACGGAAACTTTTAAGAAAAATATCTAGAGGAAAATTATTCTTAGATTACTTGGAAGAAATTGCTCAAGGGAAGGAAAATGCACAAAACATTTCATATTTACTTTTCAGATTTAGAGAAAAACATCTCAAACCAGAAAAACAAAACAAAACAAAACAAAATACCTAGTAGCTGCTAAAGCTGAGGCAAAAACTCAGCATTAGTATGTTCTTTAAATACACATTGCAGTAGTCAAACAAAAACATATTTCTGTTAGAATGTAGTCACTGTTTAAGACAGAACTTTCAAGAGACTGTTATCAGAAGGTACTCAATTACTTGCTCCTATATATTTCTCTTGTACTCAGCATAACAGTCAATTTTTTTTTCCAAATTTCCAAATACAACATATTGGCATATTATAATATGTTGAAGGTTAAAGAAATTAAACTTTCCATTTGTTTTTATTTTGTTTACTTGCTTCATTTGGTTTCCAGGGTTCAAAAGAAGGTAGTTAGAGTCCATGCAAGAAAAATTACTCCCAAAATGAAGGCAACCTGGGAAACAGTGCTCACTTCTTCCACACTGCCCGATATTCTAAAATCTGTTTAAGAGTTTTTGTAATGTTTAAGACCTCTGTGCTGACATGGGGCTAGCTTGCAATATACACTATGATAAGAAAATGAAAATAAGACATCTCTTCTCTAAACAGCTGAAGAACCATTTGTAAGGCTGTTGCTCCCAAAAAGACTACTTTGTCTTGCCAGTTTTTCTTTAATTACTGTCTGTCTTCATCATTGTTACCAAAGAATAAAGGTAAAAATGGAAGAACAAAGAAGTGAATAGAGAGCATCAGCAGAGAAAGCAAAAGGGCTTAAAATTTGGCATAAAACTTGTCCTAGAGATTCTGTTATGACACAGCTCCTCTGAGCACCACAAGGGGATTGGAAAGAATTCAGGAAGAATGTTTCTCTCTCAAAAAAAAAAAAAAAACAAAACCCAAAACAAAGCAAAAAAAAAAAAAACAAAACCAAAAAACCCAACCAGAACAGAACAGAGTTTCTCAGGTCATAGGAATTTGCTGTCACCCAAATCAGCTCTTAATGGTTCTCAGGAGACTGTTGGCCAATGGGGTATATACCATTTATTCTCACACAAACTTTGCACCCTTTTAATTTTGTTACAAAGATCTAGCTTTAGCACTAAGCCTAGCAGAATATTGTCTTTTTCCTTCTTATGCTTTTTATGCCTTATATCTTTTGCTTCCCTATGCCTTTTAAACCATCTATCTCTTCAGGTGTGGTGATGTCTATGGACCATAACAGAGTGAATAACTCAAAGTAAAATGTTGATTTTCAAATTTTCACAACATGTCTACAAAGTGTTTAATATTTCCTTGAACGTTTTCAGTAGTTGAAATTCACTGCTGAATAAGTTCTAGTCATCAGACTTTGCTGAAGTATTTCCTGAGAGAAACTGGGTCTCATACAGAGAAACAGGCACCAATCAAGTCACAGAAGCTGGTATTTTGACTCCTAAATCAGTTTTCCTCCCACTAGGTCCAACATTCTTGGATTAACACATACATTATAGTGTCTCCCAATACTTTTTCATTGGAAATCTGAAGATGTATTTTTTTGTCTCTCTTTCCGATACCTGTTCTGTATGACAGAAATTCATTTTGTCTACAAGAATCCACTAGAAAACTTAGCTTTTATTTAAATTTAGATCTTCTCTCAGAACTCACATTTTTCTTTTGTGTTCAGAAAATCACTCAAGTTCTCAAGAAATTTTAACCTACTGGCACTTCGGAGCTTCAGCTTTTTATTCGTTGATGTAAGAACTGTGGTTTGCAGCAGTTGCAGGAAGATTAATCAGAATTCTCAGGATCAAATTAACTTTTGATCTAAGTAATGTCCATTATAATAAGTGTATGCCAAAAATCTCACTTATGGAACTTAAGGATAAGATTAAGAAACAGGTGTAGAATGTGTCAATGAAGAAACCTGTTAGAGGAATAGAATCAAAAGGAAGAATGGTGCTATTTGCAAACCAAAAGAAAGAAATTTCCTCAAAGAAACTGCAATAATTTAGTCTATAAAAGTGCTATTACAGGATTCTTTTTATCTGCAATAGCACTTTCGTATCACTCACTTTCTTTTACCCCTTCAAATTGTTAGTCAATGGATGCAATCATTCCAACAAGGTATCTCCATTTACAGTTCCCAATTAAAACTTTACACAATCTCTAAAATATATACTTTCTTATAAATATTCATAAAGATGAAATCATTAAAACTTCAAAATTAACACATGTAACATGTCTTAAAGCACAGCTAGGTTATAGAACTTTTTTGGAAAGCCATCTCTGTAATAGAAATCAGAGTAGTCTTTGAAGAACAATTACTCTTGCTCCTTTAGTATCTACCACTTCTCAAGGTAATTGAAAGACCTTTACATAATTTTATTACTAAGATAAGAACTATGTGTTGAACTGCTTCATTAGTTGTGAAAGACTGTTCTAGGTCAAGCCTTTGGCAGAATGCTACCTGTGATACGAGTTGGAAGGGTCCTGTTGATCATTCTAGACAGCCATTCACAAAGATACTCACCAGAGAAAGGCCAAGAGAGCTCCTGCAACCTGGCTTGTACCTGCCTCAAAGGCTTCTTACACCAACCCATCTACACCTACATGAATATTCTTGATTTCAGTGTAGGAGAGAGACTGAGCACAGTACTTGAAGTTGTAGCTACCAAGCTGGACAGCCCACAGAATTTGAAAATCCCTTGAAGTCAGAATTTTAACATTGATTTTACAGGTATCACACATGATTTTTTACATGTTTGTCCTAAGACAACCGCATCACAGTTCAATGGCACATACACATGTTTTGTACAAGAAGAGAAGCTTGGTGCTTCTACTCTACATCATTAAGGACCACATTTAGAGCAACTGAGCCATAAGGTCTTTTTTTATGAATGAGTAGAGGGACACTGGATTAAAAGTTTATTTAGACACAAGCTTATCTCATTGCCTATTGAATGGCTGAAAGTACAAACAGAAAATGCATGCAGTGCTCACCCCAGGATTCCAGATAGGAGTACACAGTTCTTTATTAATATACTTACTGAAGTTATGTGCAACTTTTTTATCTAATATGATGTGCTGATTCACTGAAGGCTCGTTGCCCGAAAATACTGCCATGTCCTGGAACTGGAACTGATTACAGAGTCTGGATACATCTATTTTTTTCTTGCATGGGTCACACGATCCCCAAATAGATTTTTGAATCTAAAAACATAGAAGTGACAGTTCCATCAAACTTTCTTCTATCCAAATGTAGAGAAAGGGTATCCAGGTTGTTTTGTGGCACAGCTGTACTTTTATAATAACTATACGTTAAATGCTGGCTACAATGTTATTAACAGCTACCATCAGTTTCATTCTCACCTTATCACAAGGAACAATATCCCAGTGAAAAGCTTTGGTTCTCTTTGTCAATAGAGAGAGGCCGCAGGGCTGTGGAAACACAGGTAGGGCTGGCGGTACTTCCACCTTACTTATGGGAAGTGGAAGAGATGGTGATGCTGGGGCTGCTTCCCCCTCTACAGGCTTTGTCTGGGGGAGAGGAGACTTGTTCAGACCGGTTGTTGCAGAACTCACACCAACGTAGAGGGCCTCCTCTTTCTGCTCATTCAGAGGTACGGTAAAATCCTCATAATCAGCTTCAGAGGAGGTGCATCCTTGAGATCCCTCCTGAAGCAGTGAGGCACACTTGCACAGCTGACAGTACCTTTCTATGAGAGACACCCATTCATTCTGGAGCTTGCTAACATCCTCTGGTCTGTTATTTTGGACAGTAAAGGGTATTCGAAACCTGAAATTTAAGAATGTCAGATATAAATGCAAGGAAGTGTAAATAATATGCTGACTAATACAGCCACAGATATTTCTTATTTAAGCAGAATGATGTTCAGCAGCTTTACTTGTCAAAGGAGCCCAGTGCTGCTGACTCTGACCTTTTCAGACAGAGTTAATTGCTTACGTGTCTAAGGTTAGAGAGCTGAAGTTTTGCCATATATTGACTTTGTGGTGCAGTTACCTCGTAATTCCTCTTCTCCACCTTGGGGGAAGGTGAACAGTGTGCTACGTCTTCCTGTGCTTGTTGCACAAGCTAGTCAGAACCTGCTCACACATCTGTCCTATCAAGCTGAATGATGTATCTCTTCACTGGCTCCTGACATGACACCTAGACAAGTCTCTGTGGGCAGTATTTCAATGTATCTTCACAATTCCACAATGTGGTAATTCTGGTTCCTCCTTAAAACACTCATCAAACCACTGCAGAGCAATGGGAGGGGTGTTCTATATAATTCTGACGGCCTCATTTCACCACTGTTGTATTTTGCTCAACAGCTTCTCTGCTGCTTGACTTTGTTTTCATTAGTTCTGCTTTAACAAATTATTAATTACCAACTATACTTACAAATAATTGTGTTCTTTAGTATGAACTGAAAAGGTACTGCATCCATTCTCCTTGCTGACACTCACATTACCACCTGACAAATTAATGGTATTTGTTCCAGGGTCTGCAGTCTTGTTCTTTCCTCCCAGACCTATGCAACATAAAGTCAGTTCTCCTTCACGAAGTTGTACCAAGTACCTGAAGGACAAGGAATGGAGATACAGTTAATTCTTCACTGACTAGTTATTTACACGAGCCTTGCCTTCGTTAAAGCATTTTCTAATGTCAGTAAGTCTCCACATTTTTATAGCATCTTCCATGGAACAGTCAAAAATTGTCAACACTGAAGCATAAAACTTTTGAGATGAGGGCTTCTTACTTTCATTGGACATGTAAGTAAACTGTGACATAAAATATGGACTTCCAGCCTGCCATGCTTAATGAGGGAGCTATAACCGAGATCTGACTATCAGCTAAAAATCACACAAGTCCTGTTAATTTTTTTTAGCTGTGTTCTGTCCCCTCCACTCTATTTATTCCTCTTGTTTGTTTGCAATGGTGGGTCTTTTGGACTATGCTTTTAAAGGAATTCACTATGTGACTGAGCAGTGCATAATATGACGAGGCTTCAGAATTTCTGTCTTTTCCAGGTTTTACTGCCCCTAAGCTATAAACAAGAGACCATAACATAAGCCAGTGCCCAACCATTATAGTCCAATAACTCTCCCTCTCCTGGAAATGCTTCTACACATGCTCTTACTCCATAAGGACTGATCCTGCCAGTCCCCACCCCCATCCCACCCCCATCATTCCTATGAGTTATTTGGCAGGAAAGGGTCAAAGTATTCTGCTCTCAAGGGCCTCCACCAGAAATGTCTGTGCCAAAGTGTGGGTATTACCTATTTAAAAGATAAATTAATCCTTCCACAAATTGCCTGCCTATATGCAGCTTCTATTAGAGCAAAATGTTCTGCTTCAGTCTCTCTTCTAGGATTCTGCTCTGCTGCTTATAACAAAGGCCCCACATTCAACAACAAGTGGGGCTTTACTGTATGTGTTTTTTATTCTTATTTAAGCATTTGCATTCTCATTTTTCTTGAGGCTTACTGCATTTCTTTATCATTCTGACAGTTCTATCAGATCTCTCTTTTCCTCCACTCTCTTCAAGGTGTGGCTAGTTGATTAAGGTGTTCTATGAGGAATTTAAATAAGTTTAGCTGCTCCAGAAGAATTAAACATAAAATATAAATTCCATCTATTCCCACACAAACAGTCAAAGTGATAAGAATTGTTTAATGGAGCTGGCAGTTATATTGATCTCTCCTTTCTTTAAAGCAGGGACTTATAGTTTAATCGGATCTCCAGATGTTTCCACCATTATTTTCTTTGCCAAAAAAAGAAGAGAGGATTAATATCAAGAAGAAAGCAACAAGGGCTTTGCTTCGCAAGATAAATAAAAATCAATTTTTGTTTGTTAACAAACTTGTTAAATGTTGCAAGGTAACAAATCCTGGGACACACTTGAGGATAGTATTTACAAGACATACAGTGGTAGCCTTTTAAAAACAATTAAAATCATTTTCTGTGAACTGTGAAGTCTTTTCAGATAATTGCCCTGTGCAGATAATTACAATGCGAACTTGTTTTCATTAGTTTTTGGTAGACAGATTTTTTCGTCTCTCTGTCTTTTCCTCCTTTGATAGTATAAGCAATTTCCAGGTATTTTAGAAGCTGGCTCAGGGGACAGGTGAGTTGTCTGTAGGATGGGTAGCAAACTATGTAAAATCATTGTGGCCGGTTCAGTAATAGAACAAGCAGAAGCAGACGTCATGCCTATCTGTGAGAGTTTAAGGGCTGAATGAAATGGTGGTAACAGTCCATTTACCACTGAATAATGATTCCTGTCCAAAACCACCACTCCCCATTAGGCCACCATGGTTGGTCACTCCCACAGCAGGGAAGTTCAGAACATTATGAGTATTAATTAGGAGTTTTGGAGCAGCCATTTGGCCAATGTGAGTCAGCATTCTCTAGCAGGACTCCTATACCCTTTATCTGTTCTGCCAGTCTTTCTCCTTTTCCTTTTGACTGAAAATGCAGTAAAAAGTAAAGAGGTAAACATAAAGAAGTCTGCCATTAAAATCACTCTGAGCACCAGCACCATCATATATTTGTGTTAGTAATGCACACAGCAGTCTCTAGCACATGTCAGAACTTAATTTTGTTGGGTATCACTATTGCACTAACAGTTAATTTCAATGTTTTCATCACATGCAGATTTGGCATCTAAGTTTTAAATTTTAAAAGCAATTAAATAATTTATCAGACATTCTAACAAAATCCACAACCCAGATGACTACAGAAGAGCAATTCGTACTTCACCCATTCAGTGGATGCAGAAGTGTTTTGCTGCAAATCCAGCAGTCCTTCATGTATAACATCACATTCTGCAGCTCTTCCAGAGCAGGACTCAGCTGGTCTCTTGAATGAATTGCTCTGTATAACTCTGCTCAGAAGGTATATTATCTATATAATAAGTGACAGCAGAGAGAGTATATTTTCCATGTTAATTCCCTTGAATAAGACATTAATAGGTGGATTTTTCAAGTACAAAAATGATAGGCAACACTATAAGCAGCAGCCAAATAGATAGTATACATTAAGGTAAAATAAATAGGGTCTTTCTCTGATGCTAAATTACTTAACTGCTATTTGGTTTTATGCCCACAGTTCTAAACCTGTCAGTGTAAGGAGAATATTATTTTATTCTGGAGGGGTTACTGTAAAACATAATTTTACTTTTTAATTCATCTATAAAGCAATCTAGGACAAAGTTTCTGTTCAGCTCAGTTCAAGCCTAAGTAGTAATTGATTGATTTATCTTAAAATCTCAAACGAACCCAATAGAAAAATGAGGGCGTGCCTACAATTGAAAATAGCTTGGATTAAAGTGAGTGTGAATTTAAAGGGCTCCTTTTTGTTACCTGGAGCCATATTTGAGTGCTCTTACTACAGAATATATGTGCCTTTTTGAGCTCTTCTGCTAAAGGTAATCGATTTTGAAATTTTAGCTAATCAGCCATGAAGTACAGTTTCTGCACATAGAGTGAACCATTACGTTTCACAAGGGATTAATCCCTTTGCCAAAAGCACTTTGATAATGGGTCATATCAGAAGTTTGGATGAAAACTCTTCCATGCTTTTTGAAAGTTTGTATCTCAACCTAAACTGTGCAGCTGGATTCAGCACCTCAGCAGTGGGATGATACAAACTCCAAGACCTGATCACCACTGAACACACGTGATATCTGCATTCTAGTGAAAAGCTAGTGCTAAAGTCACAACTTGAGTTTCTCAAGTTTCCGTATAGAGTCTAATTATACTAACAACTTGGAATATATTATTGAACCTAAAACTCAAAAGGACCTGAGACCTCAAAATTAAACAGCTCAAAATCTTGCAACACCAAATCATTTAATTAAACAAATACGCAGTTGTACCTAGGCTGTCTTCCACTGACAATTCTATAATTTCAGTGTATTATGATGGTAAAAGATGAACTACTAGGTCTTTTTCACAGCATCAGGATGGCCTGATTCATTCTTCTTAAAAGCATGCATTTAAATAAATATACTTAGGAAAAAAACCTGCTTAGAATATTTCAATTAAGATTCAGCTGTGCACATCATCAGTTTTATTTGCTTGTTTTAATACAATCTCAAATCGGTTACATTCAAGGTGCAGTTGAAGAAATGCATCTGCTTTCATATCACATCTTGATCTGGCTTTACATCTCCAGTCCTAGTGAACTGTGGCAAAATCCTGAGGCCAAACTTTATTCTGAACTCACGTTCCCTTTGTTCTATGTACGAACATACACGGAATAAAGTCATACCTACTTCTTTGCTTGCACAATGCACAGCATAACAATTCCCATTTATGATTGGGACCTGCTGGGAACTGCCATAACGTTAGCTGTTATTTATAGCAATTTGTCTATGACATTGTAAAAACTTACCTTCCTTTTATCATCAAGAGACACTGCTTCCAGCTCATAATCTTGTCGCCCATGAAACATAATGCTGAAGCGTCTCCTTTCAGTATCTTCACAGGCTTTGACTTGTGAGAAAGGAAACTGTTTCTTAATAATCCCTTTTTCAATGTTAAAAATGGTCTTTGTGTTGAAATCAATCTGGAATAGAAAGTTCTTCATTACTTGACTCCATTGCTTCTTGATTCTCTTCATTGAAAGGGAAAGACAGCATTCCCAATATTAACATGCTAGGGCATTTAGATAAAGGACTGACTTAGAATATGTATCTGCCTTGCTGATGAATAGAATAAAAAATGAGGTTCCATCATGAAAATACTGTACTATATCTGTTTTAGTTACAAAACAAACAGATATTAATCATAACTATGTTTCCCCCTCTCTTTTGATGAATATGCATCAATTTATCACTCTGAAATATTATTTCTTTTTAAATTCAACTTGTCTCATACAACCTAATGCAAAAACCTTCCATGAAGCAGTCATGGTGGTACAAATTAACGGCATGGCCATCTCAGCAGAGATTCAATTACTAACAGGTTCAAACTATGCACCAGTATTGAAATGTTACTAAAATAACATTTTTAAATACAAAAAATAACCACTGAAGTTGGTTATTTTTATAAAAGCTGCTTCTGTGTCAGGAAAATAGGATACTACTGTGAGATTAGAGAATCACAGAACGTACTCGGCCATCCTGACAGTTTTTGACCCAGCAAAGCGTATGCCTGTCCAAGCCATGCCCAGCCAGCTTCTCCAGGAGGATGCTGTGGGAGACGGTGTCAAAGGCCTTACTGAAGTCCAGGTAGACAACGTCCACAGCCTTTCCCTCATCCACCAAGCAGGTTACTTCATCATAAAAGGAGATCAGATCAGTCAAGCAGGACCTGCCCTTCCTGAACCCTTGCTGACTGGGCCTGATCACTTGGTTGTCCTGCATGTGCCATGTGATGGCACTCAGGGTGATTTGTTCCATAACCTTTCCTGGCACCGAGGTCAGACTGACAGCTCTGTAGTTCCCTAGGTCATCCTTCCGGCCCTTCTTGTAGATGGGCGTCACGTTTGCAAGCCTCCAGTCGACTGGGACCTCCCCAGTCAGCCAGGACTGCTGAAACATGATGGATTACTTTCTGATATAAAAATTACTGCATTTTGGTTTACATCTTACATATGTGTATATACACCTATATATGTACATGTAGGCAAAGGGAGTGATGATAATAGACAGTAAAGTTATTTTATTGCTGTTTCACAGCTATAATAATTAAAAATTGTTTGCTTCAAAATAAAACTATTCTTCTTCCTCTGAACAATCTATTTTTGCAGTTAAAACTGGTACAGACAGATTCCAGTATCAGTTCTCTGTGTCAGTCCCTGCTGAGCAGAGTGAGCTTTGTTGATACAATAAGATGTGAATATTATCTGACTGCCCAGCTTCAGCAAACACCACCCACAGAGAAGAAACTCAGAAGAGTCTCAGCTCTCACCTGAGTTAGATATTTACCTTTGGTCATAAATGATTCTTGGCACCTTTCATTCCTATAGTGCAGACACGACAAATAAATGTTAACACCGTGGCCTTTCCCTCCATTCTGTTTCTAGGAGGAAATCTCCAAAGCAGAACTGTTCTCATTATTATCTCTGACTTTTGAAGGCTGCAGGTAACTAGAGGACTGGAATTAAGCTACTCCAGATTTCCAAACTGATAACTTCCACAACTTATAAAGCTTTCTGCATTTTTCCAATCAGCTTTATGTCTAAACACATCTTTTTTTTTTAAAAAAAGGGGGGGATATTGATGGAAATAAGATTATACTTTCTACAGCTGAGACATAGTAAACAAAAAGAACACCCTCTAGCACGTATGACTTGGACTTGCTCATTATCAAATTCTATCCAAACTGCAGGAAAAATACAATGAAATCCAGGTTCCTGGAAACAACATGGAACCTTTGCACTGATTTCATGGAATCAGGAGATCACCATCACCAATAACACCACCAGGTGTTATTGACAGAAATTTGCTTTTGTATTGTTCAAGTGTTGTCCCATTATGACACAGCAAGTCAGTAAAGCCTTAAGGGTTCATAATTTCAAAAAAGAATTTACAGGACAGAGTAATCAGATTGCAGTAGAAGTGATGTCCTGACAAAAGGGTCAGATATTTAAGTATGTCTGCATCACCGGTATGCATTTACTATTGCTAACTATAAAGAGTAACTCTCAAGCAGAGCCTGTTATAATCAATCACCTTTGTGACACATAATTTTTAGAGGTGAAATAACCTCTTGGATCACCAGGTCCATTCTACAGCACAGCCAGGAGCTCAGTAGAGGCATTTTCAGATATTACCCCCAGAATACTTCTGGTGTAAATGTAGAAAGTTGGTCAATATCTTGTATCCTTCTGATAGGTCACTGAACCACAGGATGTATTAAGCTATCTCACAACATTTATTGAGCGATGTAACCATCCTATATTTTTACTTTATAAAAAGTGAAAAATTTTGAAGTTACCTGCAAAATTCGTTTCTGCCACCGATAGTGTTTGTATTTGTAGATACTGAAGTTAAATTGTGAGCCAGTTAGCAAATCCTGTGAATCCTGAAAAGTAGTACAAGAATCAGCAATATGTCCACACTGGGTGTTTTTGTCCACTCAAATCCAATTGTGTTCTCCAGAGAAATTTCCCTCAGCCAACAGCATTCAAACAGAGCTGGAGGCTTTGCAGAAGAACTCCACATGGAGATAATTTGGAAGCACCCTCCTAACCTGATTTTTACAAGAACAAAATATC